TTCATCGCGCTGTGATGACGTCACATACGCGCTTTCGTCGACCGCGCTTTTGTGGAACGCGGTTTTGACGGGTCACGGGTCAGGGGTGCTTTGCACAGACAGAGCAGCTCTTGCTTTCTCCCCAGAAGATCAAGGGGGGCACAGGACATTGCTGCCCCCACCCTCCCAACTGGATGGGCCCAGGGACATCAAACCCTCTGGGAGAACCTCTAGATTCATGCTTTGGGGAGGTTTGGACTCTGTCAATAGCGGCATTATCTGGGCAAAGGAAATGCAAAGGGTCCAATCCGCTTTTCCTCAGCAGCTCATTTTCGCCAATCCGGATCAAGAAAGGAGCCCTCAGCACCCACAGTAGCCTTTGGGGGTGGCTCCTGCACATTGCCAACCAGAACCAAACAAGGGTCTTGCTACTCACCGGCCCTCCTTCAGGATCTCGGATGTAACCATAGGCAATCGTTTTGTTGATAGCGTGTCCAAAGTCTGCCCTTCGGATGTGCCCCACAACCTGGCCGCAGCGCCAAATGGCCTCCAAGCCAAAGAGGGGGACTTTCCTGCAACACAGAGGAAACTGCTGCTTCAAGAAAGGCCGAGCAGAGGCTGCTCCACACCACAGTCACTGCCTATGCAGCAACCTGTCAGCCTGGGTAGCCAGGCTGAATTTAGCACAGACTGCCTTAGTCAGACTGGCCCTTCTGGGTTGTCTCACGTAGTAAAGCTGGGAGCACTCTGACATGACCTTTAGCTTTACAACCACATTACTCAGCAGCAGAAATTCCACTCCTGTGGAATTACAATTATGATTGTAATTCAAGGACTATCTGTAGCTCTATTCTGAGTCCATTCAAGCTTCTCCAGGACTTTTAAAAGTCCCAGCACAGGACACCAATTCTAACGAAGCATCTAACGATGCACAAGGAAACCATTGCCACAGATCTGAACCAGCCCAAAACTGGTTGCCATTTCAGCTGCTGCTGCCACTGCTTGTTCATGACCTACCACCACATTACCCAATCTAATTCTTCTAATTTTCAGGATAATTTTAACCTTACTTGAATCTGAACATCTTCAGGATGGACCTGATAGACATGACTATTGGCAGGATGGGACTAGAAGACCTCCAAGGTGCTTCCAACCCCAGGAGTCTGGAAGGGAGTAGGAATCACACGACAGAGTCAGTAGTGAACACTGTCAGAAGATAAATACCGCAGCTCAGCAAACTTTAAATAAAATCCGTTATGAAAGATCAAGTATCTCTGAGTGGCAAGTTTTGAAATTTCAAAACTGATTATCCAGAAAGGGGCCCTGGACAGACTGGGGTGGGTGAGGTGGCGGCCATGCCTGCCACCAGCTACTCACTCGTCGATGGTGAAACAGGCCAGGCGACGGAAGAGACCAGCACCCTTCTGAGCCTCAACTGCCTCCCGTCCCAGGAAAGCCACCTCCGACTTCAGCTTGCAGGTGAAGGCCAGGCCGGCTTCCAGGGGACTATCGTCTGAGCGGAGATCTGCGTGCCAGTGCCGATAACCTGGTGGGCCCAAAAGAGGCTCCATGTCAAGATGAATCGCTTCTACGCCAATTCATCCCCTCATTCACGGACATAGCCCTGCCTATCCTTGAATAGATGGAGGGGGAATGAAACCCAATGTCGATCCTGAAGCTGGCCTGTCCAAAGCCATCTTGGAGCTTCAGTGCTGCCACACTGGAGCTGAGGGACAGGGAGAGGGGATTAGAGATAGCTGGGATTGTGTGGTCAAAATAAAATATTTTCTCTTGGGAACCAAAGACGTTCTCACACCTAGCTGGAGGAAGGAGGAGTGATGTCACCACACCAGCAGGTGCTGCCTTGATTGGACCATGTGACAGATTGTTTGGGTTTGAGAGAAAAACTTTAATTTAAATTGAGGGACCTTTCAGAGTCAGTTTGTGCCAATATGATATTTCCAATTAATCTATTATTTGAGGAATCTACCTGCCTCGGAGTTTTGATGGCTATGGATCTATTATTTGGAGCCCTGACACCCAAATCGATCCAGCCGCTTAAATGGAGTATGGAATGCCAAGTGGCTTTCGAGAAGCTCAAGTGGCTTTGGGCGGCAGAGCCAACACTTAAAACACCCAAACCCGGAGGAGCCGCTTGTAAATACAAGCTGGGTGCTAGCGATGTGGCAGTGGGGGCCATCCTGTTCCAAAGAAACGCGGAGGGGTTGCTACAACCCTGTGCCTACCTGGAAACTGACTGACACTGAAAGGTGTTGGGCGGTGTGGGAAAAGGAGGCATATGTCGTTTGATAGTTCTGCTGACTTGGAGACAATTTCTAGAAGGCAATGATATTACGTAGTGAAGAACTTAGAAGCCTTAAAGACTCCAAGGAAGTTGTCCCCTAAACAAGTGTAATAGGCTCAGTACTTTAATCGGTTCAAATTCACCCTTTGGTACCTGCCGGGGGGGGGGGGGATTTCCTTGCTGATGCGCTGTCTCGGATGCCCCAATACAAAAGCACCTGAGAGGATGCTTTTATGTTAACTCCATTGTCCTCTCCCAGCAACTGGAAGCAGAGCTCTCAGTGAGGCAGTCGCCGCTAGCTACTCTGCCAGCTGACAGTGCACTGACCCAATGACTAAAGGAAGCTCTGAGGGAAGTTGGTTCAAAACTCACAAAATCGATCTGACAATGAGGGAGGACTGGTGTGGAAGGCAGACAAACTGTATGTTCTGGCCAGCCAGAGGATCCAGCTCCAAAAAGAAACCATGTCATAAAGCTGGCTGGTCACTTTGGGTTTGTGAAGAACCTTCACTTGGTTAAAAAAACAGTTCTGGTGGTCTAAGGTGAAGAAAGACATAGAAAACTAGGTGATCAGCTGCCTGGTGTGCATCCATGAAGAAATTGCCAGGGAAGTGTCCTGGGTTGCTACAACTGGTGGCCAAGCCCAGCAGACCATGAGAGGAAAACACCATTTATATGGAATTTCCTGAGTGTAATAAGAGCACCATAATTTGGACTGTGGTTGACCTGTTCTCCAACCAAGCACACCTCATTGAGTGTTCAAAGCTTCCCTCAGCTCAAAATCTGGAGAAAATGTTCATGCAGCACATTTACCAGCTGCATGGTCCCAAGATGCATTATTTCAGGGGTGCAGTTTACAGAAAAGTTTTGGTGGGAATTTATAAAGCAAATAGGGTCAGCTCAGGGACTTAAGTTTGGGATTCCATCTGAGTATCAATGGGGTGGCAGTATGAACTAATGCAATAGTGGAGCAATATTTCTGCTGTTGCTGTGTAAACTATGAGCAAACCAACTGGACGGAGCTCCTACCTTTTGTAGAGGTGGCTTATAATAACTCTGTGCATAGCCGCCCTGCATTCATCCCCTTTAAAGTGACCGTGAGAGTGGAGTTTGTGCCAATGCCAGAATTTCCAAGGGAACCCCTGCCCTCAGTAACGTTAGGATGGAGACTCTGCAGAAAGCCCTGAATAAAAGTAGGGAATCACAAAAGAAGCAGGCAGAGCAGAAAATAGCCCCCCAGAAGGAATTCAGGATTGGGGAGAATTCAGGATTGGGGAGACAGTATACCTGTCTACTAAATACCTGAAGCGGAACCAACCTTGTAAGAAACTGGGTCCCAAGTACATTTACCAGCTGCATGGAGTCCTGCTCCCAATTGTTTGAATTATAAACCCAGTTACAGTGGAATTACGGTAATGAGTTCACCAGGTGTTCCACTAGCTTGTTGAGACCCTCCTGAGGCTCCAAGTTAAGGCCAGTTGAGGGGAAGCCTCCTACTCCCGTGTTGGTGGGGAGGGGGGAACATTATGAGATAAAGATACTGGATTTAAGGGGGAATTACAATACTTAGTGCAATGGGAAGGATATCTCTCAATTGATGCCGAGTTGGTAGGTGCTTACAAGGTTAGTGCAGACAGGTTAGTAAAAAGGTTCCATGAAAAATACCTTCAGTGGTTGAAGAGATTAGTGAAGGCTAAGACCACCTAAATAACAATAATTAATCTATACTTAATCTTTTCCAGGTGACTTTTTCCTTCAAGGGGCCAGCATGTCAAAATCGGATCGCTGTGCTTCTTTCAAACCTTAATGCTTTTCAACTTGCCAATGAACTGGGATGAGGGAAGGGAGAAAGGGAATGCCAAGAATGTATGCTGAGAGCATGGAAACCATCAAGGTCCCCACTGCAGGTGCTTGGGAGAGAGATAGACTGTTTCCCATAACAAGAGGATGTCTCATAATTGGACAATGTGATCACCCAGGGATGAAGATATTTTTAACTGGGCAAGCATTTGTGCAGGAAAACCAGAGGTGGTTTTATTTCTTCAGTACATGGTATATCCAGTAAAGCTTTACTTTTGGGAATTCAATTCTCCTGAGAGTGTCTCCTTGTTTTGGGTTCGCTACTCTATTTGCTACTCTGTTCCTAGAGGGACCTGAAATATCTTCATCTTTCTGCCCACCTAGGGAGTCCCTAGGCAAAAGTCAGGATTTATTTTGATGCTTTTATGTGCAGCTTAAAGGAAACAGGGGGAGGGGGGCACAGAGCTCATCCCCTGTCCCACCCAGGCCCCTGGGCAAAGAGGAGTCAACCAAAGTGTCTAGGCCTCCTCCACAGCCTCCTTGACTTGGCCAAGAGAGCAGCAGATTTAATGGGCCAAAGAAGGAAGGGGGTCCTTGCAAAGGAAGCTGGAGGCTCTGAATTCTTGACTCCCGGCCCCATCTTCATAGAAAATACTATGAGATGTTGAAACCCTTGAAAGAGATGGAAGGAGGGATGGGGGAGGGAGGGAGGGAGGGAGGGAGGGAG